GCAATTTTTTTATTGCCTTTTTTTGTTGTATTTCCTTGTGCTTTTTTGTCGTTTATCATCTTTTATGCTGCTTCTTATTGACACCTTTTTGTTATATATTTTTTGTGGCCTTCTTGTATTCTTTCGTCGCCTTCTTTGTGGCCTGTTGTGAATTTTCATTATGATTTTGTCTTTTTTTTAGTCACTCTTTTGGCTGTTTTTTTAGTCGTTTTTTGTGGCTTTTTTGTCGTTTTTTCTGTCAGTTTTTTATAGCATTTCTTTTGGACTTTTTTAATAGATTTCTTTTTAATCTTTTTTGACGTATCATTTAATGCCTTCCTCACCGCCCTTTTTCCCCTTTCATTCCCTTTTATTGAAGCCTTTTTTTGTCGCCTTTTTTTATTGCTTTTATATATTATCACATTATTTTGTGGCATTTTTGTGTCTTTTTCGTCGACTTTTTTTTTGTCTTTTTCTGCGTCATTTTCCTTTTGACTTTTTTGAACGCACTTTGTCGCTTTTTTCGCCTGTCTTGTTTTTTCCTTAACTTCCTTTTATTGGGACTTTTTTTATCGCCTTGTTTGTGTCTTTCGTCGCCTTTTTTTGACGCTTTTTTAGTCGTTTTTGTTTTCTGTCGTGTTTTTTTTTGGAGTTGTTTTGTTGCGCTTTTGTATCGTTTTTTACTTGCTTTTTTATAGTATATTTGGTGTCATTTCATCGCTTTTTTGTTGTTTTTCGGTCGTTTTTGTGGCTTTTTTGTTGCTATTTTGTTGCTTTTTTGTGGTTTCTTTTACCCCCTTTTATCGAATCCTTTCTTGATCGCTTTTTTGTGGTCTCTTTGTCTTTTTCGTCGCTTTTTTGGTCGTTTGTTTTATTGTTTTTTGTTGTTGCTAATTTGTTGCCTTTTTTTGTTGTAGTTCCTTGCAGTCTTTTTTGTCATTGATTTGTCGCTTTTTGTGCCCGTTTTTGTGTCCTTTTTGTGTCTTTTTCGTCGCTTCTTTTGTCGTTTTTTGTGCCTTTTTTGTCGTTTTTTTTTCTGTTATTTTTTTAATAGCATTTCATCTGGCCTTTTTCAACGTTTTCTTTTTTAATCAGTTTTATGCATTTTTTCATCGCCTTTTTGCACCTTTAATGTCACTTTTCACTCGCTTTTATTGAAACCTTTTTTTCATCGCATTTTCTTGTGGACTTTCTGTGCCTTTTTCGTTGCATTTTGTTGTCGTTTTTTGTTTTTTGTTGCCTTTTTTTGTTATATTTCCTTGCAATCTTTTTTTTTTGTTATTTATTTGTCATATTTTATGCTGCTTTTTATTTACACCTTTTTATTATAGGTTTTTTGTGATCTTCTTGCATTCTTTCGTCGTCTTTTTGGTGGCCTGTTTGTGAATTTTCATTATGGTTTTGTGTCTTTTTCGTCGCCTTTTTTTAGCTCTTTTTTGTCGTTTTTTCTGTTACTTTTTTTTTTAGCGTTTTTTGGATTTTTTTAGTTTTTTTTTGCCTTTTTTTTCTTTTTTGTATATTTTTTATGCCTTTTTTTCGCCGCCCTTTTTCGCCTTTAGTGTCGTGTTTTCTGTCCCTTTTTTAATCCCTTTTTTGTAGACTTTTTGTATCTTTTTGGTTACCTTTTTTATAAGGTTTTTTGTGGCTTTTTGTTGCTTTTTTTATTGCTTTTTTATTCAATACGAGAGATTTTACCGTTTTTGCCGCCTTTCTGTTGTAACATTGTTTTGTAGCCTCTTTGTGTATTTTCCGTCGGCATTTTTTTGTTTTTTGTGTCTTTTTGGGGATTTTTATCACTTTTTGTCTTTTTTGTATCATTTTCCTTTTGACTTTTTTGGGCGCACTTTGTCGTTTTTTTCCGTCTTTCTTCCCTTCATTGTGACCCTTTTTATCGCCCGGTTTGTGTTTTTTCGTTCCTTTTTTTTGTCGCTTTTTAAGTCGTTTTTTCTATCGGTTTTTGGCAATTTTTCAATTATTCCGTTTTTCGATTTTTGATTTTTTTAAATTGTTACTTTGCACTTTTTCACTTTTTACAATCTTTATATGTTTTAATTCTTAATTTTTCCAATGTTTAGACTTTTTGTTTCTAGATTTTAATTTTGTTTGTTGTTGATTTTTAAATTTTTCTGTTTTTTGATATGTATATAAGTTTCTCAATTTTGGTTTCATCAGTTTTTTGATTTTGAGTTTTTTTTGAATAATTTTTCACTTTTTTGGTTTTTGAATTTCTCGGTTTTTTATTTTTCCTTGTTTGCGATTTTTCAATTATTTCGTTTTTCGAATTTTTATTTGCTTTTTCTTCTACACTTTTTCACTATTACGATTTTTAGAATTTTTAATTTTTTCAATTTTTCGATCTTGAAGCTTTTCAACTTTCCAAATTTTCTGCTTTTTCATTTTTAAGACTTCGCAATTTTTCGATTTTCCCAGTTTTCTGCTGTTTTTTCTGTCAATGTTAAATTTTTCCATTTTTCAATTTTAGATTTTGTAGTTTTTCCAGTTTTCAGTTTTTCGTTTCTCAATTTTTCGATTTACAATATTTGTAGTTTTTAATTTTAAAGTTGTCAGTTTTAAATTTTTTAAATTTTTTTTAACTTTGGAATTTTTAATTTTTAGGATTTAGCAGTTTCCGATTTTTCTATGAGATTTTTCAATTTTCCGATGTCTTTTGACTTTTTTGGGCGGACTTTTGTCGCTTTTTTCCGTCTTTCTTCTCTTCATTGTGACCCTTTTTATCGACCGGTTTGTGTTTTTTCGTCCCTTTTTTTTGACGCTTTTTAAGTCGTTTTTTCTATCGGTTTTTGGTCGTTTTTTTATTGCTTTGTTTTTAGGGCTTCTTTTTTTTAATAGTTTTTTTTTTATAGTGTTTTTTGTAGACTTTTTGTGTCTTTTCCGTTGCCCTTTCTATAGTTTTTTTTTGTGGCTTATTTGTTGCCTTTTTTATTGCTTTTTACTTCCTGAGCATAAGCGAATTCTCTAATTTTACGTTTTCTGGACTTTTCATGTAGACTAGAGTACGAAGAAATAGGGCTCCCGTTTCCGTCTGTCTGTCTGTCTGTCCGTCCGTCCGTCCGTCCATCTGTCTGCCGTCTGTCCGGATTTTTTATTTAGTAAAAGAGTTTTTTACTGTTTTTGCCGCCTTTTTTTACTCCTTTGTATTGTAACATTGTTCTGTGGCCTTTTTGTATCTTTTTCGTCGCCTTCTTGTAGTTTTTTTGGTCTCCTTTTTTTAAATCATATTTGTGGCTTTCTTTATTTCGGTTTTCTTGCTCCCTTTTATCGAAACCTTGTGTGGCCTTTTTGGGTCTTTTCGTTACTTATTTTATCGTTTTTGTGGTTTACTATCCACTTTTTTTTGTTCTCTTTTTTTCGGCTTTTATGCCACTTTTTTACACCCTTTATTACAGCATTTTTTTATTGTCTTTTTTGTGGTGTTTTTGTCTCGTTCGTCAATTTCTTGTTGCTTTTTGTACCTTTTCCGTCGCCTTTTTTTATTTTTTATGTCGTTCTTTTATTTCATTTTAATCAAGTCTTTTTGTGGCTTTTCATTTGGTCTTTTTGTGTCTTTTTTATTGCGTTTCATTTCTTGTTGCTTTTTTGCCGTTTTGTATCCTTTTTGCCCCATTTTCCTGCTCTTTTGACATTTTTTGTGGTTTTTCTTATCCTGATCTTCACGTACAGAGATTATCATTTAAAAAATAAAATAAAGAGTCGAAGATTCGTGAGCGGGAGCATTATCCTGCAAGTAAAGAAAGCACTTTTTCAATAGCATTTTGGCTTATTTTTTTCCTGAAATTTAGTTAATAATGCAGATTACTTTCATCATCAGTGAATCACCACAATGTGATCTTACGATTTTTTTGTCAATCTTATTTAATTAATCTTAACCTACGCGGGAATATTCTTAAACAAATTAAATCATCTCGTCTGCTTGCGAAGTTCATGAGCTTCTACACCACAAAAGGTATTTTGGAGCTACGAATTATTATACAATTTCAGAATAAATAATAAACGTAATTTGAAACTTCTCTTCATAATGCCGTCTTCAGCCGACATCCTGACATCCACTTGACATTGTTATCGCATTCAGTACTCCGTTTATACATAATAATTGCACCAAAGACAATTGCAGTCATTACTCTATCACTTTGATTACACTTGTTTGACTCCAATCGACCCTCTTGCGTCTGCCTTCGCATTAAACAAACCATTTTGTTATGCCCAATCAAAACAAATTATTGATAATCACCATTACATCCAATTCAAGCAATTCCCTACCATTTCCTCTTGTTAAGAAACCCATCCGACCTCCCCAACCCTCCACCTAAAAAATCTTCCGTCGCCCCGCGAAAATGGAAAAAGGTAAAATATGAGAATCGGTTTTGCGAAATTTGATCAAGCTCCGTAAACGGAGCAGAAGTTCTCCGGTCGTATTTATGGGTTCCTAAAATTCGGGCGGGCCCCACATGGTCGATATTGTTTCAGCCCCGACCCCTCGGTCTTCGCGTTTCTGCCCCCGATATAAAAGAAAAATCGACGTCGGTCGGCGTTCGATCGCCAAATAACAAAAATGATATGGGTCGACACTTCGGGACTAACTTTAACGAGACCCGACTGGAACGCCGATAGAAACAAAATCCGATCCTGATGGGACGAGAAGCTTTAAAAGTGATGCTTTTAATATACTAATTCACTTAACGCCGTTCCGGCGCAGTAAAACTATGGATTTCTTCGCCTTCTGTTAAACACCCACGATTTCGTATATAAGGTGACACGAAATATATATCACATTATTATTTTAGTTTATAATGCGATAAATAGCTTATTACCTAACTGCGATGAGTGAGAAAATGAATATATCGCACGGTTGTGCCCGAAATTTTTTCTCGACTGTCGCAGCTAAATGAGACGTTTGTTTTGCGGTCACACATCCGCACTGACCAATCAGAATTAATTGAGTCCTGGAAGACTAGGAAAATTTGTGCGCTGAATGGGGTAGTAATGAGGAGTTTTGTTTGCAGTTTGAATAACGACGGACTGTCGCCGCTAGATGTCGCCGTGTTGAGTAATAATAGGCCTCTTGTGAAGATGCTCGTCAGTTTTGGGGCGAGAGAGGGACACAGGTGTAAGTATAATGGGGATGTTAATTTTTTATTGTCGTAGCGTCAGGGGAACGAAAAAAAATTAATGGAGGTAAAAGTTTGGCGATTATTGTTGGTAGCGCGGAGGTGGTGGGAACTTAATTAAATTGTCGACAGTCTTATGAATATTTCATTTTGGATTATTGCCGTGTTGGCAGGAGCTTAGAGATATTAGGGCGATGAAACAATAATAATAATTAAGATGTAGCGAGGTGTACAGTAGGTGTTATGGACGGCGGTTCTTTATAGTGGAAGAATAATTTTGGGACTGGCGATTTCATTTGCATTTGTTAATTTAGGTCTAAATTTTTTTGAGTGGGTGTTTCATTTGGTATTAATGTGTTAACTAAAATTCCATCTCATGTTTATTATTCAATGGGTAAATGTTACAGTACACAAGAGCAAGTTAGCTTTGGAAAATCTGTCACTGCATTTTTAATAACAATTTGCGATAGGTAGCAAAATCAGCATACGTTAATTTCCGCCCAATCACAACGCGTCAAATTTAAACTGAAACAAATTCGAATACTAATGCTTTTATCGTGTTTGTTTATACTGTTTTCGATTTTTCCGACTTTTCATTTACTTCATTTTAAGATTTTTTGTTTTTTTTTGTTTTGAATTTTTGCGATTTTTTAATTTTTGGTATTACAACTTTTGAATTTTTCAAATTTTCAATATTCTTTTCAATTTTTTAGTTCCACAATTTTTCGATTTTTCGTTTTAAAGTTGTCATTTTTAAATGTTTTCGATTTTCTAATTATTCATTTTCAAATTTGTTTTCGCAATTTTTTTATTTTTCAATTAGTTTTCACTTTCTCGATGTTTTCTTTTTTAATTCTATAATGTTTTAATGTTACAGTTTTTCGATTTTTTGACTTTCCGATTTTTCGATTTTTTAGTTTTTCAATTTATATTTTGCGATTTTGCGTCTTCATATTTTTCAAATATTTAAATTTTTGTTTTTTTTTTAATTTTTTGATTTTTAGATTCTCGATTTTTCAGTTTTTCATTTCTGAATTTGTGATTTTGCGATTATTCGTTTCTTCGATTTTTTCAATTTTTTTTGTAATTTTTCGTTTTGACAATTTTTAGATATTTTAATTTATGGTTTTCCCAACTTTTTGATCTTTAAATTCTCAATTGTACAATTTTTCAAGTTTTTAATTTCTCATTTTTCAGTTTTTCGATCTTAAAATTTTTCGTTTTTTCAAGTTTTTGATTTTTCAATTTATTTTTTAATTTTTCAATTTCAATGTGTTGCCAATTTTTCAATTACCCCGGTTTTTTGATTTTTTACAATTAATTTTTTGAATTTCGGTTTTTTTTTAATAATTTTTCACTGTTTTGGTTTTTGAATTTCTAGGTTTTTTATTTTTCGTTGTTTGCGATTTTTCAATTATTCCGTTTTTCGATTTTTATTTGCTTTTTATTCTCGACTTTTTAACTTTGAAGACTTTTAGAATTTTTTATTTTTTCAATTTTTCGATTTTTTAACTTTTCAACTTTCCAAATTTTCTGCTTTTTCATTTTTAAGATTTCACTATTTTTTCTGTTTTTTCTTTGATTCTCAATTTAAAATTTTTCGATTTTTCAATTTTAGATTTTATAGTTTTTCGAGTTTTCAGTTTTTCGTTTCTCAATTTTTCTATTTACAATATTATTGTTGTCAGTTTTAGAATTTTTTTATTTTTTTTTTAACTTTTTCAGTTAACTTCAGGTTTTCGATTTTTCTATTAGATATTACAATTTTCCGATGTGTTTCTCGAGTTTTTTAACTTGTAAATTTTTTAATTTGTTATTTCATTTTTCGAGTTTTTTTGTTTTTCCATTTTTATACTGCAATTTTTTGATTTTTCGATTTTTCGGTTTGCAGTTTTTCGATGATTCAGTGTTTCAGTTTTTTGATTTTACAATTTTCCATACAGTTTTTCAAGTTTAAAATTTTTCAAGTGTTCGATTTCTCATTTTTCAATTATTCCGTTTTCTGATTTTTTTAATTATTTTGCACTTTTTCGTTTTTTACAATTTTTAGATGTTTTAATGCTTACATTTTTCCAATGTTTAAACTTTTCGTTTCTCGAGTTTAATTTTCCGTTTGTTGAATTTTTCGATTTTACAATTTTTCAATTTTTAGAAGTTTAGATTTTTTGTTTGTTCCAGTTTTAGTTTCTTCAGTTTTTCGATTTTGCAACTTTGGATTTTTTAATTATGAGTTTTTTCCAACAATTTTTCACTTTTTTGGTTTTTTAATTTCGATTCTTCATTGTCTCAATTATACCGTTTTTCGATTTTTTTTATTTGCTTCTTCTACAATTTTTCTAGTTTTTATTTTTAAATTTTTCACCTTTCCAAATTTTCTGGTTTTTTATTTTTAAGATTTCACAATTTTTGGATTTTCCAAATTTTCGATTTTTTATTTTGCATATTCTCGACTTCAATTTTTCGTGTTATTATTTTTCGTGTTTTTACATTTTTGAGTTTTCAATTTTTAGATTTTTTTTAGTTTCTTAATTTTTAATTTTTCGGTTCTCCAATTTTTCGATTTGCAGTTTTTTCTTTGGTTTTCAATTTTTAATTTTTCGATTTTTCAATTGTAGGATTTTGTATTTTTCCATTTTTCAGTTTTTTGTTTCTCAATTATTCGATTTACAATTTTTCTTTTTAACTTTAAAGCTGTCAATTTTAGAGTTTTTTGATTTTTTTGACTTTGGAATTTTTTAATTTAACGATTTCACAATTTTTTGATTTTTCTATTAGATTTTTCAATTTCTTGTGATTTGCTATATTTCCTCTATTCAATTTTTCAACTTCGGATTTTTTTAATTTGTTACTCTATTTTTCGATTTTCGACTTTTCAATTTTTCAGTTTGCAATTTTTTTGTTTTAATTTTTTTATTTTTCAGTTTCTTGATTTTCAATTTTTCGAGGTTTCAGTTTTACACTTTTTCGATTAATTTTTCATTTTTTCAGTGCTAAAATTTGAATTTATCCAATTTTTCGAGGTTTCAGTGTTACACTTTCTCGATTAATTTTTCGTTTTTTCAATGTTAAAATTTGCAATTTTTCTAGTTTTTAATTTTAAGTTTTTCGGTTTTTTAAGTTTTCACAATTTTTTGATTTTTCTATTAGATTTTTCAATTTCTTGTGATTTTGCTATATTTCCTCTTCAATTTTTTAACTTCGGATTTTTTTAATTTGTTACTCTATTTTTCGATTTTCGACTTTTCTATTTTTCAGTTTGCAATTTTTTTTGTTTTAATTTTTTTTATTTTTCAATTTCTTGATTTTCAATTTTTCTAGGTTTCAGTTTTACACTTTTTCGATTAATTTTTCGTTTTTTCAGTGTTAAAATTTGCAATTTTCAAATTTTTGAGGTTTCAGTGTTACACTTTCTTGATTAATTTTTCGGTTTTTTAACTTTTCAACTTTTCTGTCTTTTCATTTTCAAGTTTTCGAAGTTTCATTTATCATATTCTCGACTTTAATTTTTCGTTTTTTATTGTTTTTCGTGTTTACATTTTTGAGTTTACAATTGTTCGATTTTTTTTTAGTTTCTTAATTTTTAATTTTTCGATTTGCACTTTCTTTAGTTTTCAATTTAAGATTTTACAATTTTGTTTTTTTTCCATTTTTCAGTTTTTCGTTTCTCAATTTTTCTAGTTCAATTTTGGATTTTTTTTATTTTTTTAACTTTGGAATTTTTAGATTTTACGATTTTGCAATTTTTCGATTTGTTGTGATATTGAGTTATGTATTTCGTTTTTATTTTTTTAACTTGAAAATGTTTTAATCTGTTATTCCATTTTTCAATTTTTTGTTTTTCAATTTTTGTTTTTTCACTTGCCCGATGTTTAATTTTATATAGTTCAGTTTTCAATTTTTAAATTTTTGAAGTTTTCAATTTCTCCTTGTTTCCGATTTTTTCAATTATTCCTTTTTTCGATTTTTTAGTTTTTCGATTTTTGTTTTGCACTTCTTCGTTTTTACAATATTTATATATTTTATTACTTAATTTTTCAATTTTTAGTTCCTCGATTTTAATTTTTTGTTTTTTTCAGTTTTTTTGAATCGAAAATTCCAAAAATTTAAAATCTAAGAACTGAAAAGTCAAAGAATAAAAAACAAAAAAATTGTGACATTGAACCATCAAAAAATTAAAACTGTGAAATTGAAAAATTAAAATACATATTGTGAAATCGAAAGGATCAAAAGTTGAAAAATCGAAAAAGTTACAAATGAAAACGCGAAAATCGCAAATTGATTTAGATTATGAGTGACAATTGTGACACGTGACGACGCGTCGTATTGTCGATCATCACAACGAGGCGGCAAAATTAATGAAATGTCAAAGCCAACTCGATGTAAGATGTTTTATGATTAATTTTTACTTGTAAATGATCGTGATCAAAAGCATCCCGCATTTTCGAGTCTACGACGAACTCAAGGTAGTTTTAATCAAAGATCTGTCATTTTTTTTATATGACGTCATTTGTGGAAGGCATCAGTATTGTTTTTATTATTACTATTATTTTTATTTTAATCAAAAGAAACCAATTATTCGCTTTTTTCTCATTTAAAACCTCTTCCATTTATGCAAACGAGCATCCTCGTTCGAATGAGACGAATTTCACACAATTAAAAATAAATTAACGCATCGAGAAAGCAAGAAACTAGCTCCAAACAATAGATAAACAAGCAGATTAGGTACTAATAATGGGAGCGTTAACATCCTCTGAACTTTCCATTACCTACTGTTTCCCTTTCAGTTTCAAACCCAGAAAAACTCGGATCTCACCTGAAACAGTTGCTCGGTGAAGCCGAAATGAGATTACAGGAGTTGGGCGGACTTTTGGAGGAGCCCACCGGTGCTCCCCTAAACACAAGGGCCTCGTTCTCCAGCATTATTGGAAACGCTTATCCGACGTCAGCCATGACAGGTACGACGTTATTCGAAAAAAAGAGAGAGAATTTCGTGTAACTGTGTTTCTGGGGGTGTGTTGATAAAGAAGAATAATTTTGCGAGAGGAAAAAAAATCAAATAGTATGATTTAAATATATAGAGTGTGTCATTAATAAAAAATGTCATATTTTTATGCGTGTATTTTTTTATTAGGTTGCGCCGGCGGCGACAACGACAAACAAGCGATAGCGTGGAGCAGACGCGTAAAAACCCTCAAAAGACTAGTGTTAGGTTTTACACAGGCCCGACCGCCGGACCCTCCGTCGCTAGTGGCCCTCGACATCACGTCTCTATCCTCGGTTACCATGCGACTGCAAGAGCCTACAACGAACGATTCCCCGATCACAACAAAATTCAAAGGTGGCATTCCGTTATTACAAAATCGGCCGAGATCCTCTAACGAGTTTGATTTATAGTCCAATGGTCCACTCGTGCTGATTTCAGCATAATCTCCGGTGAAAAAGAGCTTCTCGACATGTCAAAGACCAACTGTAGCATAGATTTAACGCAGGGTAGAAGATATTACTTTAGGGCGGCTTGCGGCAATTTAAAAGGGTTCGGAACGTTCCTGACGTCGACGCCGTCGTCCGTCGTGCCGTCGAGTTGGAGGGAGGTCGACAACAAGAAGTCCAGGTAATTAGTTCTGTGGTCACCCAGTTGCAACAAATCACACATATTTTTTGCAGGTTTGACGGGCGTCTTCGCCAGCTCGACCAACTAATGGACGAAGTCAAGCAGCTGCGTCCCGGCAGCGAGATCCTCGAGACCCCCGGCCCCCAGAGGCGCACCCAACGAAAGAAAACCACCATCAAGCAACTCTTCACGGCCGCCAGCAAGTTCCAGAAGAACCTACGAAGAGGCATCTACTTAGCGTGCATCCTCTACCACGAAGACAAAGTATTAGTAACGAACGAAGACTTTTTGCCTGTGATAGAAATAGACGAAACATTCCCCAGCTGTATCCACACAGATCTCCACTGGCTGATGAAGGTTTCCTGCACGTGGGACGACACGAAGTCGTTGCGGACGGACATGGAGAAGAACGCGTCTTCTGCTATACATTTCAGGACCAAGCTCCTGTCTGCGGTGCTTCAGATGCAGTCGTCGCTGTGTCTGCAGGACCTGGGTCAGCTGTATTATAGGCCGTTGCGGGATTCCCAAGGGACCGTCGTACTGAGTACCGTCAATTATGTAAAAACGCCGAAGAGTGTGTCGGTTTTGAACTCGAGGTGGCTGCCTATGAACAAGGTGTTCAAGAAGACCGTGCTGGGGGACGATCATAGCATATCGGAGATCCTGATGGCGTCGATACAAGAACAGATCAATTATCACCAAGTGTCGAGCTTGAAGCTGAGTAAAGGGTTGTATTTGGCGTATTTGAAGATGCAGAGTTCGGTGGATTTGATTCAAGTGGTGGTGTCGGCGAAGTCGCCGAATATGCTGCCGCACTGCAAGGTCCGGGATAATCCGCACGTGTCGGCGTAAGTATTTGTAGTGTTGTTAGGACCGACGGGTTTAATTCTTAAAAAAACATGGGTACTCTTTTCAACGAAAAACATCAGGAGCTACACAGATTTTTCTCAAGTCTTTAAAAACAATACACTAGAGGTTCTCAAGATTGTTTCAACAATAAGTGGACCCCGAAATTCTTTCAAAATCTTCCAAAAACAAAAGAAAACACGGTGACCCCTGATTCTATTTATAAATTCTTTCAAAAAGAAATTACCGTCATTCTTTCAAATTCTTCAAAAGAAAAGGCAAGGGTTTCAGTGGTTCTTCTATATTCTTTTAAAAACAACAACGCAAAGGAGCTCAAAATTTTTTGAAAAATAAAACACCCGAGATTCTATAAATATTTTACAAACAAGACATCAGAGACTCCCGTGAATCTTTCTTCAAATTCTTACACAAATAAAACACTCGGAGCCCGTGATGATTTTCAATTTTCTTCAAAAAAAAAACACCAGGAGTTCCTGAAATTCTCATTTATTCAAAAACAAGACATCAGGGGCTACCGACATACTTTTTTCGATTTTTTTCGAAGGTAAAGCACCAGAGATTCCCAAGGTTCTTTCAAATTTAAAAAAAAAAAACACCAAAACACTAGTTTTTTTTTTTAAATTCTCTCAAAAACAAATTATCCTGATTCTTTCAAATTCATCAAAAAGAAAACACCAGAGGTCCTCGAGTTTCAAGTCTTTCAAAAACAAGACACCAATAATCTTTACTCAAATTCTTTCAAAAATAAAACACCAGGGGTTTCCCAGTCTTTTAAAAAAGATACCAGAGACCTCTGAGAATCTTTTTTCAAATTCTTTTAAAAGTAAAACACTTGGAGTTCCTGAAATTCTTCCGAATTCTTTCAAAAACAAGACAGTAGAGATTCCCGAGATTCTTTCAAATTCTTCAAAAAAGAAACACACTAGGGTTTCCCAAATTTTCTTGCAATTCTTAAAAGAAAACACATCAGGGATTTCCCAGGATCTTTTTTCAAATTCTTCCACAAAATACCAGAGCTTCTCATTTTTTCTATAAATTCTTTCAAAAACAAATTACCGTGATTCTTTCAAATTCTTCAAAAGAAAAACACCAGAGGTTCCTAACACTTTTAAATTTTTTCAAAAACCAGATGCAAGAGGCTCTCAAGATTCTTTCAAATTTTTCAAAAAGAAAACCCCAGAGGTCCCCCAGTTTATTTTAATCTTTCAAAAACAAGACCCCGATAATCTTCACTCAAATTCTTTCAAAAATAAAACACCAAGGGTCCCGAAATTCTTTCAAATTCTTCAAAAAAAAAATCACTAGGATTTCCCAAAATTCCCTCCAATTCTTAAAAGAATCAGGTATTTCCCAGAATCTTTTTTCAAAATTTTGAAAAATCAAGTGTATCCCGAAATTATTTCTAATTCGTCTACAAAAAAAACAGAGCTTCTGATTCTTTCTATAAATTCTTTGAAAAACAAATTACGTGATTCTTTAAAATTTTTCGAAAATAACAACACTAGGGGATCTCAAGAATTTTTCAAATTCTTCAAAAAAAAAACACCAGAGGTCCCCGACATTCTTTCAAATTTTTCAAAACGAAAACACAAGAGGTCCCGGAGTTTCTTTTAAAGTCTTTCAAAAACAAGACACCGATAATCTTTACTCGAATTCTTTCAAAAATAAAACACCAAGGATTTCCGAGATTTTTCTAAATCTTTTAAAAAAGATACCAGAAATCCCTAAGAAACTTTTTTCAAATTCTTTCAAAAATAAAACACTTAAAAAGTCCTTGAAATTATTTCAAAAACAAGACAGCAGAGATTCCCGAGGTTCTTTCAAATTCCTAAAAGAAAAACTACAGTTTCCCAAAATTCCCTCCAATTCTTAAAAGAAAACGCATCAGGAAGTTCCCAGAATCTTTTTTCAATTTTTTGAAAAAACAAATGGCCCCCACGATTCTTTTAAATTCTTTCATAAAAGCACCAAAGCTTCTGATTCTTGCTATTAATTCTTTCAAAAACAAATTACCGTGATTCTTTCAAATTCTTCAAAAATAACAACACCAGGGGGCTTCAAAAATCTTTCAAATTAAAAAAAAATCAGGGGTCCCCGAGATTCTTTCAAAACCAAGACACCGAAATCTTTACTAAAATTCTTCCAAAAATAAAACACCAGGGGTTTCCGAGATTCTTTTAATTTTTTTTTTTTTTAATATACCAGAAACCCCTGAGAATCTTTTTTCAAATTATTTCAAAAATAAAACACTTGGGGACCCTGAAATTCTTTCAAATTCTTCATTTTTTCAAAAACAATGCACCAGGGGTTCCTGAGCTACGTTTTTCGAATTCTTTCAAAAACGAGGCAGCAGAGGTTATCGAGGTTCTTTCAAATTCTTCAAAAAAGAACACCAGGGTTTCCCAAAATTCCTTCTAATCTTAAATGAAAACAGATGAGGGAGAAATTCTTTCAAATTCTTCCGTAAAAACACCAGAGCTTCCGATTCTTTCTATAAATTCTTTCAAAGACAAATTACCGTGATTCTTTCAAGTTCTTCAAAAACCGGATGCAAGAGACTCCCGAGATTCTTTCAAATTCTTCCAAAAGAACGCACCCGAGGTCCCTTAGTTACTTTTATTCTTTCAAAAACAAGACACTGATAATATTAACTCAAATTCTTTCAAAAATAAAACAACAGGGGTTTCCGAAATCTTTTAAAAAAAAATCCAGAAACTCCTGAAAATCTTTCAAAAATTTGCTTTGCAGGGGTTCCAAGATTCTTCTATATTCTTTTAAGAAGATCTCTCAGGGGGCTCAAAAATTTTTCAAAAACAAGGCACCGATTTTTTTTCAAATTCTTTAAAAAATAAAACACCAGAAGTTCTCAAGATTCTAAAAAATCTTTTAAAAACAAGACACCAGAGATTCCCGTGATTTTTTCTTCAAATTTCTTAAAAAATACACCAGGGGTTCTGAAATTCTTATTTATCCAAAAACAAGACACCAGGGGCTCCGAAAGTACTTTTTTCGCATCCAAAAGCAAAGCACCAAAGATTCCCAGAGATTCTTTCAAATTCTTACAAAACCACTAGGATTTCCAAAAATTCCTTTTAATTCTTAGTAGAAAACACATCAGGGATTTCCCAGAATCCTTTCAAATTAAAAAACAAGTGGCCTCTGATATTCTTTCAAGTTTTTAAAACATAACAACACTTGGGGGCCTCAAGAATCTTTTTAACTCTTCAAAAAAAACACCCAAGGATCCCCAAGATTCTTCTAAATTTTTTCAAAAACCAGATGCAAGAGGCTCCCGAGATTCTTTCCAATTCTTTAAAAACCAGTAGCAAAGATTTCCCAGAATCTTTTTCCAAATTCTTTCAAAACCAAGTGGTCCTCGATCCAAATCTTTCAGAAAAAAACTCCAGGACCCCTAATTCTTTATATAAATTTCTTTGAAAACAAACTATCGTCATTGCTTCAAATTAAAAAAAAAAAAATTCTGAGGATTTTTCTAAATTCTTTAAAACAAAAAAAACACCAGAAGTTTTTCTAATTCTCTCAGACACTTGGAATTCCTGAAATTTTTTCAAATTTTTTCGAAAATAAAATACCAGAGACACCCGAGATTCTTTCAAAAACAAAATCTTCCTTAAAAAAACCGGAGCCGCTGATTCTTTTTATAAATTCTTTAAAAAACAAATAACCGTGATTCTTCTAAATTCTTCAAAAAATCAGGGATCAGGGATTCTCCTAAGTTCTTTCAAAAACACCGAGAATCTTTTTACAAATTCTTAAAAAAAAACACACCAGGTTTTCCTGAAATTCTTCATTTTTTCAAAAACAACAAGTTAGGAGCTCCTAAGATCTGGTTTTCAAATTCTTCTTTCTCAATTTTTCTTAAAAAACACCAGGGATTCCCAAGATTCTTTCAAATTATTTAAAAAAAAAACACCAAGGATTTCCGAGAATCTTTTTCCAAATTCTTTCAAACACAAGCAAGATTCTACAGCGGAGTTTCTGATTCTTTCTATAAATTTTTTCAAAAACAATTCACTCCTTTAAAATTAAAAAAAACACAGAAATTGCCGAAAGTTTTCTAAATTCTTTCTAAAACAAAACACTAGGGACCCCGAAATTCTTTTAAATTCTTAAAAAAAAAACACCAACGATTTCTGAGAATCTTTTTTCAAATTCTTTCAGCAGCAAGTGATCCCCGATCAATATTTTCTAGAATAAAACACCCGAGGTCCCTCATTCTTTTTAAGTTTTTTTTCAAAAATAAAGCAATTCTAAATTCTTTCAAAAACAAGAATTTCGGAGAATCATTTTTCAAATGATTTCAAAAATAAAAGGCTTCCTGAAATTCTTCTAAACACGACAACAGAGGCCACAGATTCTGTTTTCAAATTCTTTCAAAAACAGAACACTACGGTTTTGGTTATCAAATTCGAATTCCACTCTGATATTCACCATAAGCAGCGCATGCGCCGTACTAAACCATCCACTTTATTTCCAGCGAGGAGTGGGAATACCTCAAACAGCAACACCTCCCCGACCTCACCGACAACGCGACCGAGCAACAACGAACATTCCTCGAGCTGGTGACCAGCGCGGCGAAGCGCCTCTTCAACTACATGGAAATCAGCAGCGAAGACGCCAGCAGCCACCGCCTCTACGACACCGAAGTGATCGACCTGACCGACGAGGTCAGCTTCATCGTGGTGTGTCCTTCGGCCGAATTCTCCTGCTCCGTGCCCGGCCAACGCGAGATCCTCCTCCAAAGAGGCGACCTCCTCAGCCTCCCGATCCAAGTCTTCGAAATGATACACCTCAACACGTACCAGAACAGCATCATCAAAAAATACTCGAAACTGAGCTGCCTCCTGGAGCTGGATTCGGCCACGGCGAACCATCTGCATCGCGAGGCTTTCTCGAACAGCGAAGTGGCCATAGCTAAGGAGCGCCTTGCACGGCTGCACGATTTACAATCCAAGCTGAACGTGATCTGGAAGACGGTTCGCTGGCTGATGGATGTTATCACGTTCGCGAGGGATAGGATAACGTGCGGGATTTCGATGAGGTATATCCTGGATAAGGAGATCGGGTGTACGAGTCCGAAGAGGAGTTTGCTGCAGATACCGCCGAGGGAGAGTAAGGTGGTGAAGAGTACTCCGGGTCGGGGGTCGTGGCCGGGGCCCGGGAGTAACAATATTAGTACCCCGAATTCTCTGGTGAACGAGTTTAGTAAAAGTGAGCAACACTTGAGTACTAACGAGGCGTCGTCGCAGTACTTGAGTGCTTGCAGTGACTCGGAGTCCCGGAAAAACAGTGACAGTTACAGTAGTGATTTTTTGAATGAACGCTTGCCGCCGTCGCGTAGTGAAGACATGTTGTTCGCTATTCCAACCACGTCGACTCATAGATGTCGCGCTAGTACCGTTTCGAGTGTCTCCGCGACGACTAGTCCCTTACTCAGTGTGAGACCCCTATATGGGGGCAGTCTAGTGAGTGTAAACACGATGACCACCGACAGTTTGCATAGTTTAAGTTCGGACAGCGACGGCAACCCCCACCCTGTGGGTTCCTCCACTCCTCACAAAATCAAGCACCGCCCCAAAATGGTACCATCGAAGAGCATGACCAACATGAAGCAGAACCTCCTCGACGTGAGCACCAAGTCGGAGCGGTACCGCCCCAGACACCTCAACCTAGAGCCCTTTCTCCAGTCGAACCTAGAGAGCGGTCTTTCCAAGAGTCTCTCGAACCTCAAATCGCGCACAGACGAGGGTACTTACCTCAAGCCGTTCGAAGTGAAGAAGCGGGACACCACTCCAGATACTCTATTCAAGGTTCCTTATCCCGACGTCACGACTCAGTCCACTTCCAAGGAGCTCCAATCGGGGATTTTACAAGTGTTTGCGGCGTACGAAACGGGCTTGGCTAGCGGTACTTCACTAAAGCTCCACGTGACACCTAGGACGACCGCCCGAGAAGTGGTCGATCTGGTGGTCAAACAGCTGAACATGGCCGTAGTGCTGAAAGGTAAAGAAGGGCCAATTTATCCGGCTGATAAGTTGAAGAATTTCTGTCTGGTGGCTGTGATCGGAGCCCGAGAGCGCTGCTTGAGGGACGATTTCAAGCCGCTGCAGCTGCAGAATCCGTGGAAGAAAGGGAGGTTGTATGTGAGGCAGAAGCACGACGTTTTGGCCGCGCTGGAGCACAGTAGCAAGCACAGTGCGATTATATGAAAGGAGGCTGAAAGTTTGATATAAGACTTTTATATTGAATTCTAGTTTTAATCCTGTTCTTAGTCAGTAAAAATGGTGCTAGAGAAATATGAAATTTCAGTCTTATGATTGTTAAGTCATTTGTTGCCTAACTATAGCGGAACGAACCCTATTAAAGTAATCCTGAGCCTGTTACTTTAAGACAGAGGTCAATCTTTCGTTGAATATTGATAACACTGTGATGATAAGAGTATTCACTATATATCAAAATTTTCTATTAAAAAAGACCATTCGGTTACTCCATCCATGTTGTTACGCCAGAGCAATTTTTTGAATGATATTTTAGGAGCATTTTGTGCAATATCGTCCTGCTACTTTTTCTTTACGGTCGCTGATTATCGTCCAAACTTGCTCATTTATTGCGTTTTCGACGGCTACGAACACCAATGTTATTGACAAGTATTATTAAAAAAGATACATACTATAAGTGTTAGTTTAGAAAACTTTCAAATATATTCTATAATAATATAATGCGTGTTATTTATTCAAAATGTGCTAAGTAATCACATGATGGTATTAGAAAAACCATATCATATAGTGTTTATGTGTTCATTGTAAACTATCTCTTTCTTTTATCATTCTGTTACTGTTTCGCGTTGCATCGTTTTGTTTTAGTACAAAATAATTTTATTGTGTTGTGTATTTTATAAGTGTACATAGTTTGATATTTGTGTATAGAGAAAGTTTATTCAAGTACAGTGCAATTAAAAAATATATATCATTTTCTAATATTGAAGCTTTAATTCAAAATTACTTCAATAGTGGAAAATATAAAAAAGAATCACGAAACATTGTATTTTTTCAATGCATTGTATGACTGTTGTAATGCACAAAATGTCTTGATATGTTTTAAATGAAGTGTAAAGATAGAACGTAAATAAATATGTTAACAAATTTTGATTTTTTAACACTATATGTATTTGTTTTGACTGGACATTCATTGAGAAGAACGCATTAAGAAAATATAAGATACCCATTTTAAAATCCAAATGATACACCGCCATTGGTCCTACGAAAAGAAAATCAAAAGTAAGCCCCTATTTTCCAAGCGGAAATAAGTGAATTTTTCGACCGACGCTGACACGTTGTGTAAATTTGTTTTATTGTTTGTAAATGCACCGTTCATGTTAGGAGTTTACTCGTTACCTAGTTCTAACACAGTTTAGCAATCAAGAATTTATTTAGATAGAGCAGTTACTAGTTTTGTAATCAAAGGACAACACCTTTTGATTACAAAATTATGAATAATTTTCTAGATGCTTATACTCAAGTGTTGCATTATAATACTTCTTAATTCCTCACACAAGATTGTTAATAGTTCATTTGCGGCAGTTAAATTACTCTAACGTTGCCCCACTCTGGAAAAAGACCGTGGAAAGTGCGGTAAAATTCATAATATCGTGCACTGAGGTACGGGAGATTATAAATTTTTCTCTTTAGACAGTTATCATCGTTATTATCATCATATCACCGAGATATCTTTCTCGCGACGTGGAAAGCTATATCATCGAGATACTGAAATTTACATCGCAACGCAGGAAATATGCATTTTGTGTTTATTTATCATGTGTTTTATTTGGGATAGCAGTCCACGATATAAACTCTCAAAGCTGATGGTTTTAAGTAACCAGTCACTTGGATCAAGGCATCATTTAACGTAAGGTAAATTCTTTGTTTGAATCGTTGATAAAGTGTGGTGTAATTTAAGATCAGATAAATTCTTTGTTCTGGCAGCGGTCACGTTGAAAGCGTATGTTCAGACCAAGTACATGTTTGAATTGTAAAATCTTGTTGAACATCATACAATAGTCTGATTCCAATCTTAATTTCATATAATAATTCTTTACTGTTTTAAATTTCACAAGAGTGTATGGCGGATTCAAATGTTGTTTATTGCTCTTTTGAAACTTTAATACTTGTACGATTGTAGTTGATATCAGAGTTATAGAAATTGAACATTTAAACGGAATTGAGATTAGATAAAACCGAAATACGTGGCAGAAGCGGAGGGCGCGGTTCCTAGTCGAGCTGGCGGGATTTATCGCGCCATCTGCACAAAGGATGCAGGCTTTGTATAGAAGTCAGGGGCGGTCGAGATGACGTGATGCTGTCGACTTGGCCCAATAGTCGAGACCCAACCACGAGTTCGCGCCCGTAACGGCCTGCTCGCACGGCATGTCCATAATAAAGAAGTGTTGTGCGGCAGTGCTCGCGATAGACCGAATCACCGTCGTGGGTAGGAGAACAGCCACGACCAGGAGCCCCAAACTTCGCTGGTGCTACAACACCCCCCTATGTGTATTTTGCCGCCAGCTTTATTAAATTTGTGATATTCAAATATTTGCATTGATTCAGAACGTTTAATATGATCTCATTCCGTCAATTTAAGGCGGGATGTTTGGGTTATCACACTACCAACAAAAACAAAGCTAGTAAAAAACTTGTGGAAGGTTATTTTGACAGGACTTCGTTCGCCCTTGAAGTATAGTCCGACAAATTCCGTTTCTTTAAAAAATGAGAAAATTAGATTTTGCGATTTTCGTTTTGTGATTATTGTTAACGTCTATAAAGTGGCATAATTAGCATCCCCGCAATTCCTGCGTCTTTAAATATGTATATTTAAAGCGGATAACTAACGAGAAAAAATGTAGACATTCTCAGTTTCTCAGTATATGCTTAACTTCGACTGTTTATGTTTATATTTCAACGAATTCGACTATTAGCACGTTTAGAATACAAACATCAGCTGCTAAAAGAACCTGAAATTTGGTTCTCAACGTAGAACTAACTTACTAAAAAACAAAAAATTTTAAAAATCTAAAAATTGAAAAACCGAAAAGTCAAAAAATTGAAAAATGTAGAAATTAAAAATTCCCAAAATTGAAATGTTGAAAAATTGACAAATCTAAAAATTTTTAAAATCGAAAAATGGAAAATTTAAAAAACCAAAAATAGAAATGTTAAGAGATCCAACCAAAAACTCGTAAAATCGAAAAGTTGAGAAATCGAAAAATCGAATTTAAAAAATCTAAAAATTCAAAAATCAATACACCGAAGAATCAAAAATTTAAAAACACGAAAAATAGAAATATCCAGGAATTGAAAGATCGAAATATCGAGAAAACGGAAAATCTAAAATTTAAAATATCGAAAAATTGAAGAATTGAAAAACTGAAAAATCGAGAAATTGAAAAATTCCAAAACTGAAATGAGAAAAATTAGAAAAACGGAACATTTAAAAATCGAAAAATTTAATAATCGAAAAAGCCAAATCCGAAAAGTCGAAAAATCGAATGCTCGAGCAATTGAAACATCAAAATATTGAAAAATTGAAAAATGCAGAAATTAAAAGTTCCCAAAATTGAAATAGTGAAAAATCGAGAAATTGAAACATTCCAAAACTGAAATGACAAAAAATTGGGAAAACGAAAAATTGAAAATTCGGAACATGGAAAATCGAAAAACTGAGTAACCGAAAAATAAAAAATTTTAAAAATCGAAAAACTGAAAAACCCAAAAAAGTCGAAAAATCAAATGATCGAGCAATCGAAGCTTCAAAAAAATCGAAAAATGAAAATATGGAAAAATTGAAAAATGCAAAAATTAAAAATTCCCAAAATTGAAACAGTGAAAAATTGGGAAATCGAAAACTGGTAAGACTGAAAAATCTAAAAATCGAAAAGTTGAAAAATTTTAAAAATCGAAATGTCAAAATCGAATCAAAGATCGTGAAATCGAAAAAGGTAAAATTAAAAAATCCAAAAATTCAAAAATCAATGCACTGAAGAATCAAAAATTTTAAAACTCGAAAAATAGAAAAATCGAGGAACTGAAAAATTGGGAAAACGGAAAATCTAAAATTTAAAATATCGAAAAATTGAAGAATTGAAAAATTGGAAGATTGAAGAATTGAAAAACTGAAAAATCGAGAAATGGAAAAATTCCAAAAGTGAAATGAGAAAAATTAGAAAAACGGAACATTTAAAAATCGAAAAATTTAATAATCGAAAAAGCCAAATCCGAAAAGTCGAAAAATCGAATGCCCGAGCAATTGAAACATCAAAATATTGAAAAATTGAAAAATGCAGAAATTAAAAGTTCCCAAAATTGAAATAGCGAAAAATCGAGAAATCGAAAACTTACAAGATCGAAAAATATAAAAATCGAAAAGTCGAAAAATTTTAAAAACCGAGATGTCAAGACATCGAATCAAAAAATGTAAAATTGAAAAATGTAAAATTTAAAAAAATCGAAAATTTCAAAAATCAATGTACTGAAGAATCGAAAAAACGGAAAATCAAAAATTTTTAAAATTGTTCGGAGAATTGAATAAGGAAATAACTCAAAATCGAGAAATTGAAACATTTCAAAACTGAAATGACAAAAAATTGGGAAAACGAAAAATTGAAAATTCGGAACATGGGAAATCGAAAAACTGAGTAACCGAAAAATCAAAAATTTTAAAAATCGAAAAACTGAAAAACCCAAAAAGTCGAAAAATCAAATGATCGAGCAATTGAAACTTCAAAAAATCGAAAAATGAAAATATGGAAAAATTGAAAAATGCAAAAATTAAAAATTCCCGAAATTGAAACAGTGAAAAATTAGGAAATCGAAAACTGGTAAGACTGAAAAATCTAAAAATCGAAAAGTCGAAAAATTTTAAAAATCGAAATGTCAAAAAATCGAATAAAAAAAATCGAAAAATGTAAAATTAAAAAATCCAAAAATTCAAAAATCAATGCACTGAAGAATCAAAAATTTTAAAACTCGAAAAATATAAAAATCGAGGAACTGAAAAATTGTGAAAACGGAAAATCTAAAATTTCAAAAATTGAAAAATTAAATTTCGAAAAACTGAAAATTCGGGGAATTGAAGAATCGAAAAATTGAAAAATCGAAACATCGAAAAATTGAAAAACTGGAACATCAAAAAATTCCAAAACTGAAATGACGAAAAATTGGGAAAACGAAAAAAATGAAAAATCGAGAACAAAAGATGGAAAAACGAAATGTCGAGAAGTCGAGGAATCGAGCAACCGAAATAGCCCAAAATCGCAAAGGACTAACTTATTAATTCATACTCAATTTTGTTTCCCCAAAAACACTCGCAAATTCGAAGAAATTCGGCAAAAATTTACGATGACGGATACGTTTTGATTAACGATTTACCATGTTTCAAATAATTTTAAAATATTTGCATGATTTTACAGCATTCAGTTTTACAGTGTCAAAATTAAATTGCAAGATTTTTTTCTCAAAAAATATCTTAATATCTAGGATAAAAACTCAACAAGGGCTCGTAAACCACATGTGCTGAAGTATCTTATTTCATGAAATTAAATAATATTTATTACTACTAATTTTGGAGATGACGTCTACAAATTTGACAGTAGTGTCGCAGATTATCATATACAACCATTTGACAGAAACAACGTGTTATATTTTACAAAAATAGACATGCCGTTTGTATCAAATGAAAGCGATTTTTCAATTAAACATCTGTTATGCGTGAAATTACTCGTTACGATACCGTTTACGCAATTCTAGCCACATCCACACCAATCTAGGGATTTTTCATTAGTCACTAAAACAACTGTCATTTTGTTCGCAAAAGTCAAATCCACCGATAATTTTGAATGTTTGTTTACGCCAAAAATGTGGGAAAGCCTTATTTTTCAATGGGATTTTTATTTATTTCGTCATTATTAAGAACAAACGTACGATTTTGTAGCAAGAAAGCCCCCACCATGAAATATTTAAACGTAGCCGAGAAAAACGACGCCGCCAAAAACATAGCGGCCATTCTGTCCAAGGGGGCCTCAACAAGGGTAAATTCACCTCAGAACCCCAAAAAACCATTAACTTTGCCCCCGTAGCGAGACAGCTTCTCCACCTATAACAAAATCTACGAATTCGACGGCACCGTTCAAGGGCAACAAGCACGAATGGTGATGACTTCGGTCTCAGGACATTTGCTAGGTTACGAATTCGCAGCGGGTTTTCGTAATTGGAGATCGTGCAACCCGGTTGCCTTATTCGACGCACCGGTGGTTAAAATGTGCGCTGAAGATTACCAAAAAATTAAGGTTAGCTTGACGTTTGTGTCACCGTTTTGTTAATTTATTGTTGTAGAGGACTCTAGAACACGAGATTAGGTTCTGTCAGGGTTTGATTATCTGGACGGATTGCGATCGTGAGGGCGAAAACATCGGCTATGAAATTATTAAAGTGTGTACAGACGTCAAACCTAACCTAAGAATTTACCGGGCGAAGTTTTCCGAAATCACCGGGCCGTCCATATTCCGGGCTTTGAACACGCTGGGACAACCTAATAAGAACGTAAGTGACGCTGTTGATGTAAGACAGGAACTAGATTTGCGAACAGGTTAGTTATGTTAGCTTATCAAAACTGTTAAATAAAGTAAAACAGGGGCCGCTTTTACTAGGCTTCAGACGTTGAGGCTGCAACGAGTCTTCCCGACGAAGCTCGCTGATAAACTGATTAGCTATGGGTCGTGTCAGTTTCCCACGCTGGGGTTCGTGGTTGAGCGCTACCAAGCGATCGAGGATTTCATTCCGGAACCGTTTTGGAAAATCAAAAGTATAAATACAAAACACGATTTTAACAACTTGTAATTGTCGCGCTTTCAGTGAACCACAAAGTCAAAGACATCACGACGGAATTTTCGTGGAAGCGCGATCGATTATTTGATAAAAACGCGTGTGAAGCGATTTTAGACATCTGTAAAGAAAATCCGACTGCCACTGTTGAACAAGTCCAAGGTAAACCCAAAAGTAAATGGAGGCCGGTTCCTCTCGACACGGTTGAAATGGAAAAAAACGTTTCAAAGAAGTTGAAAATTAACGCGAAAGAAACGATGAAAATAGCCGAGAAGTTGTATAGTCAGGGGTACATAAGTTATCCGCGTACTGAAACCAATATTTTTCCGAAAGAACTGAATTTGGCGAATTTGGTTACTCAGCAGCAGGGTGACAATCGGTGGGGGGGTTTCGCCCAACGGGTGATGGATGAAGGGGGCCCCAACCCTCGACAGGGTAAAAAGTCTGATCAAGCCCATCCTCCCATACACCCAACAAAGTATACAAACAATCTACAAGGGAACGAACAACGGGTTTATGAATATATAGTCAGACATTTCTTGGCTTGCGTACACAAAGATGCGCAAGGGTTTGAAACGATAGTCACTGCGGATATAGCCGGGGAGAAATTTATAGCCAAGGGGTTGCTAATTTTGGAGAAGAATTATCTAGATGTGTATATTTACGAAAAATGGAACGCTAAAGAAATCAATCATTACGAACAAGGGGATACTTTTACCCCCACCGTGTTAGAATTACACGAAAGTGTGACCTGCGCACCTAAACTACTAACAGAAGCTGATTTAATTGCCTTGATGGAAAAACACGGAATCGGGACAGACGCAACCCATGCTGACCATATAGATACCATCAAAAGTAGGGAATATGTGGGACTCCACGAAAACACCTACTTCGTCCCAGGAACTCTCGGAATGGGTCTGGTAGAAGGCTACAACAACATCGGGTTGGAAGTCAGTCTAGCCAAACCCATCCTACGCGCCGAATTTGAAAAAGATTTAAAACTGATTTGTGATGGGCTAAAAGACCCAGAGGTGGTCAGAAGAGAGCAAATTCAAAAATATAGAGCCGTTTTTGAGACCGTGGTAGAACGAATGAGGCAAATCGACGAAAGTCTGGCTAATCGTTTAGATGACAGACCCCAGGTGGTTCAGGATGAGCAGTTCGAGAATGCTACAATCATACCAGTATTAAAGTGCCCGAAATGCGGCAACGACATGCATTTAAAAAACAGGAAGAACGACGCAGGGAAATATATAGGGTGTTCAGGATATCCGGGTTGTAAGAACGCCATTTGGTTCTCTCAGAATGTGGAGAGTATAGAGGTGCTAGAAGAGAGTTGTCAAAACGTAAGTAAAACAGCCCAATTTATTCTATATTGTTATTTATATTTTTACAGTGCGGCCCACACGTCAAAAAATTAAAAATGAAATTCAGACAAAACATTTTCTTGGGCGAACCCAACCCCAACACCCTGTGTATTGGTGGTTGCGACTTAAACGTCCTTGAAGGTCTGGAAATCAACCCCTCTTCTGTAAGAAACACGGGAAATCCAAGACCGCCACCACCTGTAAATAACCGACCGCCACCACCTGTAAATAACCAACCCCCGCAACGCAACAACGTCAACCACACCGTGATAAATAATGTCAATAATCATCATAACCCGGAACCTCGTCGCAGTAGTTGGCCAAACACGTCACTCATGGCCACTCCAGGTCCCTCAGGAATGTCCAACAGGAGTCATAGCGAAGACAACGAAATCGTGTGTCAGTGTAACCAGGAAGCTATACAATTAACGGTGCGGAAAGACGGGGCCAACAAAGGACGAAAATTCTACAAGTGTAAAAACCAAACCTGCGATTTCTTCCTGTGGGCATCCGAAGACGGAAATGCCACTAGAGTCGTCACCCATAACGACGACAACGAACTTAAATGTAACTGTGATACGCCCGCTGTTAGGAGGACGGTGTCAAAGGAAGGGCCAAATAAAGGGCGGACGTTTTATTGTTGCCCGAAGCCAATGGGACAAGGGTGCGGGTTTTTCCAGTGGGCGGATGAGGTTAGTGTAACATGTTTGTGTCAAAAATTCACTGATTCTTGTGTTGATTTTAATAGGATGATGATCGCGGCGGAGGCGGAGGCGGCGACGGCGGCGACGATAACGACGACAGAGGCTTAGGAGGGCGGAATTTCAAAAACACGTGGAAAGGAAAAACCAACAAAACAAAAAACAATCGGACCGCCCCCTACAACAACCAAACGAGAGCCAAAAGGAAATGTGGAAAGTGTAGGCAAGAAGGTCACACAAGAGACAAGTGCCCAAATTAGAAAAAATATTTTCTTTGTAACGTTAAGATCTAAATACATGTTTATTTTTATAACTAATTAAGATGGCGTCAATAATCTAGTAATCAAGTTACCTGTGAGCAGCCATTTTCATTTCCGATTTCTTAACTTTTCCAGTTCTTTCTCTTGAAGGTGGCTTTCAGCAGTACTTTGGGTTAGCTGAAAGGACAAAATGACTTAAGTTTAACCCCCTTGTGGCTATAATCACCATGTTGAGCATCACTGTGTACTTCAGCCGCAACATATTATTTTCCTCTTGGAGTTCCTGGATTTTCTTTCTTAGTTTTTGGTTTGATTTGTGCGCTGTTCCACTTTCCCCGTTCTCTGAGGAATGAAGATTTTAAAAAAGCTCTCGTCGTGTGATTGTTTACCTGGAATCCAGTCACCGTTGTCGAAGACCAGTTCTTGATTTCCTAAACGTAGTTGTATGCTTCTTTGCCCCAGAACTAAGTCTTCTAGTTCTTCAGTGGCTATATTTCCCGAATTCTTCCTCACGGGGGCTTTTTTTGGCGAAAACTTGCTACCAAATAGAGGCATCTTCGCGCGTTTGAAAAATATTGAAGTTTGTGGTAATCGCGGTTGTCATGGAAACAGTAGTGACATTTCAGCTCTAGATTGGTATCAGTGGTAATTTGATGACATATGTCAGTGACTTTCTTACCTATATCAGTGACTATGTATTTAAAAGACCGGCAACCCCGTATCCTTATGCGTACCAGTGAGTTAATATTGGCGGTCAGATGGCGCCCCAAAATGCGACAAAATAAAGTCACTAGATCTACTATTACTTTTAGAAAGTACGGCAAACTGCCTGTGGTCGGAATTCGACAGAGAGGAACCTAACCTATGTGTTAAACAAAGATAGCGCGACGCTAGTAATTTTCGCTATCAAATGTAGGAACTGTCAACGAAAGTTTGATGTGTTTACGATTTGAGGTTACGACAGACTGTACTAGAATTATCGAGTTAACGGACCGGAAAGAACACTATTCCAGTCCCAAAGTAACTCCAGCCCTATTCAACGAGAAAGTGTCACCGGTAACCAGCAAACAGTCGTGGAAGACGTGTTACCACCAAGGCAATTGATGACCAAATGACAGTAACAGGATCGCCATCCTGGAAGCAAAAAATACCTGCTGTCGAAAAGACGGAGCATAACAAGGACACAGATATATTTCTATTTCATAAAAGTTACTAATTGCCACACATTTCAAGATCGAGTCACATTACGACAAAAGCCCTCTAACCTTCAATGGTTGTTACTAATACCATTTTGCGGGTTGTTGTCTGAGCTTGTACAACACAACTACTGTAAGTGAATCGCTCTTGCAGCCGTTTTAGTTTGAAATTTAAGAAGTCGGACGGCGCGGAAAATTACTGACACTTTGCGACTCGAATCAAATAAGGGTGTAGGGACCAAAAATCTGCGCAAGTTTCAAACTAGCATAATTTTATTATTGAATGACGAATTAAAAATGCAACTGTTAACATTTATAAAACAACTTTATAGAGTACGATTTGCAACATATCTACTTGCTTCACAAATTTTTGTTTTAACACGGCGCGGCGCATTAAATTTGTGAAAGCCAATATTTTTTTCTGACAAATTTTCAGCAATACACACTGCTTAATTCTATATGTGTGAAGGGTTCCTACCCTACATTTTTCACACAAATTCCACTTTAGATTTCTTCAAAAGCGTTCAATTTGTCGCAGTTGAGGGACATTCGGAACATTTTTGTCCTTAGGAATAAACTGAATATTTATATAAGTCATTTATGCATCAATAACGTTGGCAGTGTAATGATTCAGATTTTTTTTTTAATTTTTGCTTTTGTTCCAATTTTTGTTTTTCTGAACATTTGGGAATTGATTTTCGCTTTGCAAATATGATTTTATTCTCCCTTAGTAACGTACTTTTTGCCGATTTTAAATTTCTGTCCAAAATTTCTAAATGGCATTCCAAGTTTACCGTGGTTAGTGAGTATGGATGTTAAAAATAGGACACACTATTTACACTATTATATTACTAAATTACTAGTTATAATGTTCCAATACATGGTTACTGCCGTGGTTCTGACTGATTAAGGCTTCTCTCCTCTTCTGGGCCATTTTTGTTGCTGGAATTCCACTTCTTGTCTGTCTTTCTATCGAATTACCATTCTCTAGAGTTATAATTTGTCCTTTTTGATATCCCCATTTGGAAAAAGTGATTAAATGTGAAGGGCTTTTTTAAATGCATACGGTCTGTATAAAATTCGGCAAACACATTTCGGCAATTATTTTCATTCGAGTGTTCCATTTTCGCACAAAATATTAAACTTCTAGTGGAATTAGCGATAACAATTTTTGATAAGTCGTCGCCTGGGAACATGTTTGATCCACAGACCAGAGCGCGCTCATGCCAATGTCGATTCTAAGCGTTCAGAATTGAAAAAAGAAATTGAAAAGTTCCCAAAACTGATAATGTTGAAAAAATTGAGAAATCGGAAAATCTATAAATCGAAAAATTTTAAAAATCGAAAAACCAAGATGGCAAAATTAAAACTTGAAAAATTCAAATATCGAAAAATTGTAAAATCGAGAAGTCTAAATATAAAGAAATAAAAAAAATTAAAATTTAAAAACAGAGAAATTGAATAATTCGAAACATCGAAAAATTGGAAAATTGAAAAATTAAAAAAAAGTGGAAAATCGAAAAATTAAAATGTAGGAACAACCGTTCCCCCAAAATCAAGTGTTCTACCTGAGCGCATTCATGATCTTTGTACAAATGTAAATACATCCTATCTTTCGTCTACCTGGCCTACGCTCCTACATACTTTCTCTTTCCGTTTCTAGAATTTTCTAAACTCTTTCTTTACCTACTACCACCTATTTGAAACCGAGCCTACCTGTCGACCATTCAAATACCCTTCGATCTTCTTCTCCCTGGCACTCTCAAACAGTAAAAGGAACTAAATAAAATCTGAAAACCGTGACCGTCGCTTTTTCTAAAAATCACCAACGATACCCACAAAAAAAATGGAAAATCGAAACATTAAAAAAAAACGGAAAATCGAAAAATAAAAAAAAATGGAAAATCGAAAAATAAAAAAAATGGAAAATCAGAAATTTAAAAATTCCAAAAATTGAAAAATTGAGATAGAAGAACTGAAAAGTCGAAAAACCTAATATTTTAAAAACTGAAAACTAAAAGTTTAAAAAACGGCAAATTGAAAATTCAAACAGTAAAAAGTCGAAAAACTGAAAAATTGAGAAATCAAAAATTCAAAAAGCAAAGTCGAAAAAAGTAGATTAATTGAGGAATCGGAAATCTGAAAATTCTGAAACGTCAAAATTTGAAAAATTAAAAAATATTGAAGAACTGAAAAATCGAAAAGCCTAAAATTTAAAACATTGAAAAATTAAAATATCGTAAAATTGAAAAATGAAGAAATCTAAAAATCAAAAAATAAAAAAAAATAAAAATTGAAAAATCTAAAATATAAAAATCGAAAAACTAAAAAATCAACACATCGAGAAATCAAAACTTGAAAACTAAAAAAAATTGGAAAACTGAAAAATCGAATAATATAAAAATCTAAACACAGAAAAACCGAAAAATCGAAAAGTAAAAATCAAAAACGGACAAATCGAAACATCGAAAAATTAAAAAACTGAGACATCGAGAAATCGAAAAATCAAAAGATGGAGAAATCGAGGAGTCGAAAAGTCGACAAGTCGAAAAATCGAAAAATTGAGAAACCAAAATAGGCCAAAATCGACAAATCGTTAAAAAGTTAAAAATGGAAAAATTGATAATACGGGATCTCAAAAATTGAAAAATCGAAAATTTAAAAATTGGGAAAATAAAAAAATTAAAATATAGAACAACTGAGAACTCGAGAAATCGAAAAATCTAGAATTTTAAAAATGAAAAATTACAATATCGAGAAGTTGAAAAATTGAGAAATCGAAATATAAAACGGTCGAAAAACTGAAAAATAATAAAAATATCATAATAACTATATCTACTATAATGGCCGTTCATTTTTTTATTTAAATAAAGGATGAATTTAAACGCATACACCAGGCATCCTCCAAAAATTGGGATTTACTGGCATGTTGTCAACATGTGCTTATCATAACAATAATAATTAAAGAAAAGCTGAAATTTGGTTAAAATTGTACAAAAACCTTTCACCAGTCCACCGTTCATTTGGGGATGGGCTATTTTGCTTTAACGTAATCGCACTGGCCACAAGTCTGATGAGTTGGTGTTCGTCCAGACTACTGTTAACGTAGTTCACAAGAAAAAAGGAGGGAGAGCCACTATCCACTATTACGTTTGTGGATGAAGTGAAGTGAGGGGTAAGACGGAGCATTAGCCCCGCACTTGTCCATAAGGTTGCCTCTCTTTTAACTCTATACTCACTGCCTATATGCTCATTGACGTACCGTAACCAATTTGTTTAAAATGTTTCATACGAAAATAAACGAGAAAATTCTGTGAGGAAAAATAATAATAATAAAATGCCCAAAATATGATGAGTGTATCGTTCCATTTATATTTTTTGGACTTGTTTATATAGAATGACTGAAAAAAATAATGAATGCCTGTACATATTTATTTTATTGATTTAATCAAAATGTATTGGCTCATCCCCCGCTAAAAAATTGATGCCGTTACCTCAAAATTTTGTCGAAGAAATTCTACCCAAAATGTGCAAAATATGATGAATCTATAATTGTGATTTATCACTGCATTAATATTTTTTAGATTTGCTTACACGGGTGTCTCAACATAATAATTACTGATATATGTTTCATCATAGTTCAGGAGCGAGAGAAGTTCTGTCGAAACCATTTTCGACCATTTTTTTTTAATATGTGTCTTTGCACAACAAGTAACTCAAAAAAATGTTTAAAATGGAAAATTTGTATGTTTGTGTAGGGAAATATCGATTTTGCAATTACGCTCCGCCCCTCTATCTGACAACAAATGAAAAATTCATCACGATTGAGAACGAGACGGATGGGTGGGGCTTCTCTTTTAGTTTTTTTTTTTTTTTAATTATTATTATTATTAATACATTTAGTTTTCTTTGTATAACACAATAATTACTTAAGAACATATTTCACATGGTAATTTCTCGTAGAAAAATAAGGATTTTACAAATAAGCTCCGCCTCTCGGCTTACGACGAATAAAAAAAATCATCAGAATTGAGATAGGGCGGGTGGGCGGGGCATATATTTTGCCTTTTTTCTTAACATACATAGCCATATTTTCATAACAAGAAACTTAGAAGATGGTTGAAATGATACATTTTTGCAAAGAAGTATGGAATTTGCAATTATGGGGCGGAGCATAATTGCAAAATCAATGTTTCCTTATACAAATTTTCAGTTTTAAACATGTTTTAAGTTTCATGTTGTGAAAAGAAGTCTACACATGTTAAAACAAAAATGCAAAATATAAGCCCGCCCACCCGCCCTACCACCATTGTAATGATTTTTTTTATTCGCCGTGAACCAAAGGGGCGGAGCTTAACTGCCAAATACCTATTTCTTTACAAGAAATTAAAAGCATGTTTCTGAGTATCGTGTTGTTCAAAGAATACTATGTATATAAAGAAAAACAGGCCAAATATTAACCCCGCCCACCCGCCCCATCCCAATTGTAATGATTTTTTTATTCTTAGAAACTAAAAACACGCTTAAAATGGTGAATGTTTGTAACGAAATATGGATTTTGCAATTAGGCTCCGCCCCTAGGAAAACCAACGAATGAAAACTTCAATACTATTTAGATCAGGGCGGGTATGGGTGGGGCTTAATTTTTGGTCTGTTTTTTTCTTAATATACATTGTATTCTTTGAATAACACGATACTTTTCTCGTGGACAAAAAAGGATTTCGTAATTAAGCTCCGCCTCCTTAGCGAACGAATAAAAAAAATTATCACAATTGAGATAGGGCGGGTGGGCGGGGCTTATATTTTGTCTTTTTTCTTAATATACGTAGTCGTCTTTTCAGAACAAGACACTTAAAACATCTTGCAATTAAGCCCCGCCCCCCGATCTGACAACGAATGAAAAATTCATCACAATTAAGAATTGAGATCGGGGTAGATATGGGTGAGGCCTAATTTTGGCTTTATTATTTTTTTTTAATATAGGTACATAGTATTCTTTGAACACAATACTCAAATAATATACTAAAGAACGAGTT